TTCAGCTTTAGCTGTTCTCTCATGACCAGGAAAATCAATATTGCTTTAGATGAATAATCACAAAACTGCTTAAGGACCATCTACATTTGTAAACTTCAGAGCTCTGACTCTCCTCTCACACTGTTTGAATGTGCTCTGACTAATTATGTGTGGAAAAAGGCAGTAAATTAAGAAAACTTACAAGTATATTTATTAACACAATTTATTTATTACTTTATTTTTATTTATTTTTATTACTTTTTTATTTTTTTTATTTTACATATTTTGTTTGTGACAATATAACTACTTATAATAGATTTTGCAGGTCCTTATGAAGTTAGCAGCCATTGGCCGTAACTCTTCTATGTTTAATTGACAAAGGTTTCAAAGTTTGAGGAAACAATTTTCAAACTGTGCCTTGCCAAGCTGCAAGCTACCCATACAGGAAATGAACACTGATATAATGAACTTTATTGATATAATCTTATTAGAGCAGCAGAATATATTTCAAAAGTTGCTGTTCCCATGGAAACATTAATGGTTCTCAATGTGACTGCATACTGCCATGAAGCATTTTGATTGACAGGTCTCAAACTACTGTATATTATAGTATACTGTACACTATATGCAAGTATTTTACAATACGTATTGTATACAGTGTTGGGGAATAACTAGTTACATGTAACAGAGTTATGTGATTTAATTACAAAATAAATGTAACTGTAATCTGTTACAGTAACTGAGAAAAAAATAAATAAATTGCAGTTACTTGTGAAAATGTTAACGATTACAAAGGGGGTTGCATCTGAATATTTTCACACACATACAGATTTGATTGATTTCTTTACCAAAATGCATTGACTGTTCTAAAATATGAGACACCAATGTTTCAGGAGTTTAGGACAGATAATAGGGCACATGCTTATTTGATAACTTTTATTTCCTATTTGGATTTAAGTATATGCTTTATTTTTTTAAGATTAACTTTTGTTTCCTTAAGGCATTGTTAAATGCCAGTGTTTCCTTTCATAGCTGTGCAAAGATTTGATTTCAAAAACGGTATCATAGCTATTAAACTACATACTGATATGATTTTAAATCTACATATAACCTGATCTCAGTGTAAAAATAATTGCTAAAGTCTGATTTTGTGGTGGTTGTTCCATAATCTTAATTCAAGTGATGAAGGATTTTGAGAAGTCTGTCAGTAATCAGTGTTGAGTACTGTAAGGATAACCATGCCTGCTATAAATGTGTGAAAATGATGAACAGTTGAAAACATTTGTTAGAAATTTAGAAAAGTAATCAAGTGTAATCAGTTACATTACTTTAAAATACAGTAATTGAAATAGTTACACTACCTATTACATTTTAAGTAGGGTAACTTGTAATCTGTAACCTATTACATTTCCAAAGTAACCTTCCCAACACTGACTGTATAAGATTTATTTATTTATTTAAATACTATAATCATAGTAACACATGTTATATTACCATTGTTAGGTTTCCATTACATTAAGTTCAGTGCTTCATGGAGTGAGCAGATTATTCACTTAAGATTTTATTTTTTTTACTTTAAAACAAAGTTTGTCAGGTTTGTGGAAGCCTGTTTCCACCATTGAATAAAAAAAAATATATACTTTTTTCCTCAGAACTGCAAGTTCATATCTTACAAATCAGTTTATATCACACAGTTCTTAGAAAACAGACAGAATTGCGAGATGTAAAAAAGTTAGAAATGTGAGATAAAAAGTTACCTTTTTTTATTATTACTATTCAGTAGTAGAAAAGTGCTTCCATACATGTTTCATCTGGAAGCTTGTCTATTTTTTACACATATAGAGAAAATGATTGTGAAATAGCTCCAGAAGCAAGGCTGCTGAGAAAGTGGGTTGTCACTGGTGTGCTGTATAGCTGTTTAAAGAGAGTATGCTTTCATGACTATGTTTCTTAATTCACCCAAAAATGAAAATTCTTAAATTATTTATTCACTCTCATGTTGTTCCAAATCTATAAGACTTTGGTGACAAATTAAGATATTTTTACAGAAATCTGAGAGGTTTCTGTCTCTCCATTGAAAGACCAGGTAACCAAAACTTAGAAGATCCAAAAAAGCAATAAAGGCATCAAAAAAATGATAAATTTTAATGAATTCATATTTGAATAAAAGGTGAAATTAAGTCTCTTCATTATAAAAAAAGTGATTCTTTCCACAAGACTTGGATTAAACCATTCAATTCACATGGATTAATTTAAGAAGCCTTTTCAGCTTTTTGGATCTTCTGCGTTCTTGGATCTTTTAAGTTCATCTACACATATTATGTCAGCTTACATGTATTTGAGCCCCTTTGCAAACCAATTTGAATGAGTTGCTTGGACCCAGTAACCTGGTTTATGCAAGAGACCACCTCACTTACAGAGCTGACATTTATAGAACCAACGATTTGCAGACCAGGATCAAAAAAACCTTTACCAGTGCCTGAGGATTTGCATAAATTAACTGAGCATTGGTTAAGAAAAAAAGGTATTTCCAGTATTGTCTATTAAACCCCGGGTGTTACGGTTAAAGGCACTCGCATTTTGACATTTCAGATCGAAATAAGATCAAAAACCTTCGGGGTTCGGAAATGAATTTTAACGGAGCCCAACCTGCATGAGATTGTGATGCGTTTATTGCTCTTTTTCCATTTTCTGTAGATGAAAGATGTGGGTGGCTGAAACCAGCCCAGAATTCATAATGAAATATCAGAAGCCAGTTTAGCAGCAGGTCTTTGGTGGTTTACACATTTTCTGCTGAAGCATCTGCTCACAAACACCAGCGGCTTTGGATTTGGCAGTTCAAGTATCCCTGGAGGAGAATCCCAGAGAAACTCTCCCAACTGACAAATGATCTCCTGCAGAGACGAGGTGCTCTCCTCACAGTCACCTGCTGTGTGCGAGTGTGTGTGATCTAGATGATGAATCACACTAAATTTAGCCCTGAAGCCTCATGTTTGGTGTCCCCCAAATTATTATTATTTTATTTATATTTTTATTTTATTTTATTTTTTAAATATTTTATTTTTTTAAAGAAATGCCTAAATAAAGAACTGACCCTTGAGACATTTTGCACACTTTTAAAAATAGGACTTTTTACAGAAATAATATACTTTAAAGAAAAAAGAAAAAAAACTCTGTTTTCCCCAGACACCTAATTGCATGTATTTTACAATTAAATAAAAAAAGTATTAGAGAAAACAGGTTCAACTAATATTAAAATGCAATTAGTTGCACCATTTTCTTGGTATTTTATTTCATAATTACTTTTGTTGTCTGAAATATGGTTAAAGTCTGTCATATGTACTGTTGAGCATATATATTAAATTAAACGATATTTGAATGTAATTTATATTGAAACGTACGTCATGCATTTTTATATTTTACACAACACAACAGAAACCGAACAGTATTTATATCATTTTTTACCTCTAATACACCACTATGTCCAACTGCCTTGAGCCAGGACACAGGAGCCATTTCCTAAAGTCAGGAAATGATGGTATTTTAAAATATTTTCAGATTTTAGGAGTCATGAGGTGTAGTCTGATTATGTGATTACTAAGAATATCTACTCTATATTCAGTCATATATCATTGCATATTTAATCCCATTAATGAGATTGATATCTAAAATGGAAAGAGATTTAATGACTTCAATTTCACTGTGTTCCTCACACAAAGATATCACATGGCCTCAGAAGACTTGGAAATTAAAAGCACCACAGCGGTAGTCCATTTGACTTGTGCATTGGAAGTCAAATGATCTACCGCTGTGGTGCTTTTCATTTTGGAGCCTGTCAGCCCCTGGTTACCATTTACTTTAATTTTATGAAAAATATAGAGCAGTTTGAACAATCAGCAAAACATCTCCACATGTGTTGCATGGAAGAAAAAAAACAAAGCCACAGAGGTTACTGTCTTTAATGGGGAAATTAATGGAAAGCATTCCACTAATGTGTATAATCACATTTACAAGACGCACATCGTTTTGTTTGGTGGAATGGGATGTGTGAGAATATTAGCTTGTCTGTGCATCACCACACAACAACAACAAAAAATCAACACAATTGAGGGTATAGTGAAAAAAGCACTTTTGTTTTTCGGTCTAGGTGCCACATCCGCGTGATCGACACCTTCGGCACGGAGCCGGCGTACAATAATGAGGAGTACTCCACACTGCATGGATACAGGACCAACTGGGGTTACTGGAACCTCAACTGCAAACAATACATGACCATGTTCCGTAAGTCTATGACTGCTTATTACTGGCTGCATCATGACACTATCGTCTTGTTAGAGCTGCCTCACAGCAGAATTTGGCTTTGGCTCATATTTGAAATGTTGGTAACTCTTTAGAATTACACATTTGTAATAATGAAGTTGCAATTTAATACATTTAAAACATTAACATTAAATGTAATATCAAATAACACACTACAGTTTAAAATTGTCAAGTACTTTACATTTGGTTTAGTTCAATCAAAATAACTGTACTTTAAAGCAGAAAAAGGACATTATCAAAACATAATGATTTAAAATATACTTTAAATGTTTTAGTTTGAAATTATTACAAAGTCAGTCATAAAAGTGTACTCTCTTTAAATACGCATAAGCATCCTTTTTGCATTAATAATATATTATCTGCAAATACAGTTTTACTTTTACATTTACACTACAAGGTTTCCTTCAGTACAATTAAGCACACTGCAAGGTTTCTGAAGACATTGCATGTCATGTTGCAAAAGGGTTAAAAGTGTACATGCAAGAAATCCTAAAATTAATGCACAAAATGTAAATGAAATCCACAGAATCACTCAGAGATCTATATTGTATCACAGCAAGTAAATATGAGTTGTTATACATAAAAAAGCAGAGCAATGAAATGTTCACGCAATGTTGATGTTGATTAGTGCCCTTACATTTTCAAATGAAACTTGCACCACTGCTTTAGTGTGTAAAAGCTTGTTCTCTCTTCACTTTTAGGTCACTTGGCGTACCTCCAGGTAGAGGAAGCTGTCCTCTGACTGGCCCGTTGCCCTTTGACCTTATCTATACAGACTACCATGGCCTGCAGCAGATGAAACAGCACATGGGCCTTTCCTTTAGACAGCACAGGTCAGTTTGAGTCTATCTTCTAAAAGCTGAGCTTCTGAACATCTGGCTTCTAACCATAAAGACATTTCTTTGTGTGACCTTTTGAAAAAGTTACAAAACTTTAATTTTGATTCCATAGGGGCTTTAAGCTGCCGTATCATATGCTTTATAATGGATTCTGAGTCTTTATTGACTTGGTCACGACAGCAATCTCACTGTGAGTTCTCAGTCTCTTCCATCAGTGAGTTCAATAATGAATAGAGATGAACTCGTACATAAAACACTGATGAGTACAGCATAATACTTCAGAAATGTACCTCATAAATAATGGATAATATTTGTGTCTCATTGCTCACACCAAGACCGCCACATGCATAATGTATTAAAATTATTGGAAGATCAATTAGGGACCATTTCTCATTTGTCAGTTGTAAAATACAGTATGGCTCTGTATTTCAGTCTGGGAGAGAATACGACGGATTTGTCTTTTGTGTAATAAATCAACCCTGTAGGATTCAGTCTCATGTTTTATTGCACTGCAATGTTTACAGCGGTCCAAGTCTGAATGCTATTGCTCTTTCCAAGTGTCACAAAATGAGAAATAATTTAATAATCTTCACATTGCTATTTTCATACAATTACAAAACTCTATAGTTGTGCTAAATTAGACACTTACTTGCGATGACATAAAAATATAGATAACATTGATATAAAAAGCAGTTAGCAGAACTTTAGAGTGTTTTTTGACCTACTTAAAAGGACATAAGCACAATTTTATATGTATTTACAAAATGAATTTGTCATGGTTTAATAAAATACAAGCATTTTTGGTAAACCTTATTTTAAGGTGTCCTTGTTACACATATTACATGTACTTACTATCATAATAACAATTCATTAGCAATATAATTTAGGGAACACATATTCACTATTAACTAAGGGTTTTCCCTCAATAACCTTCTAATTTGCTGTTTATTGATAGAAAGTAAGGTAGTTGTTGAAATAGTTATGTTAAGCTATTGAATAGGGTTGAAGGGTCTTAGAATAGTTTAGTGACACTATTCTTGTATTCGTGCCAGATAAATACTGCTGTATTCATTTCTATGTAATGTGCTACATAGTAACACAGATACGAAAGTTTGGTTACACTTAATTGTAAGATGTCCATGTTACAGTGTAATTGTAAATTTAAGTGTTGCGGGTAACACTTTATTTTAAGGTGTCCTTGTTACACATATTTTATGTTGTAATATGGATGTGAAACACTTCAATTCACTTTATTTAAAGTATATAAAAACTATATAATGAATAATTTGTTTTATTTGATAATGTTTACTTGATTATGGTGTTAAAATTTAGTTCCTAAAAACAATTGTGATTTTGTTTTTGCTTGTTAATTTATTACTACATGCCATTGTTTTAGTTTAATTTGTAAACATGGTATCAAAATGAGTAGAATCATGAAATCTCTCTCATGTTGGTATACTGAAATTTTGACATTGTGACAATGTTAGGTTTTAAATATTAGTACCCTTGAGCATAATTTTTGTCATTATATGTTTAATAGACATACTTTATGCAGTGATTTCCTAATGGTTTCTCAGGAAACCAGAATGTTTTCTTTTAATTCCGATTACCTAAAAAAATTATTTATTTATTTTTTCCAAAATTTATTTATTGCAAATTAGATTTAGGGGCGATCAGAATGCCCTCAAAATTGAATTAGACTGCACGGTGAATATTTCCAGCTATCAGATAAATGCAGTACAGCGATGCCAGATATTATGAGATCCTAAAAGCATCACAAGCTGTCAAAATAAGCCCAATAAGCTGTTTGTGATGAAAAGCTCCAACAACAGTTTATTTCATTTTGGCAACAGATAAGTGATAAATATAGGATTTAAGAAACAATGGCATATTTATGTAATGTTTGATGCATTTGGACAAAGTTGCTAAACCAAATGGATTACATTCTGAGGTGTATATATCTAAAAATCCTAATGCATCCTATTTGTTTTTTTGTTTGTTTGTTTTTTTACAGAGTACACATTATAAACCAGTATGCAAATATCTAAGACTGGAATTGCGAGCTGGAAAAAGATCTAGCTTTGCTAGTGCTTTTCTGACAGCTACATAACTGCAGTATAATATAGTCAGAATAGTCGCTGGACCAGTTTGCAGGTGGTTGTTTCACCGCATGCAAAGTCTGCAAATTTGACTGTGTTATATCGGGGATGCGTTTCCATACAAAACATGGCATAATTCAGGAAAATGAAAATGCTGTGCTCGTTTTTCTCTGTTAGAATAGAATATTGATTTAAAAAAGACATTTATACTGTTACAAAAGATTTTGATTTAAAATAAATTGCTCTTTTGAACTTTCTATTCATCAAAGAATCTTGAAAAATATATGTTTCCACAAAAATATTAATATTGAAAACAAGAAATGTTTCTTGAGCAGCAGATCTGCATATTATAGAATGATTTCTGCAGCACGATGTGAAACTGACGACTTGAGCAGTGGCTAAAATATTTTTAAATAAAATATAGAAAATATTACTGTTTTTACTGTATTTATGATCAAGTAAATACATCCTCGGTGAGCATAAAAGACATCAAAACAAAACATAAAAAAAATATTGGGTAACACTTTTTTTAAGGTGTCCTTGTTACACATATTACATGTACTTACTATCATAATAACAATTCATTAGCAATATAATTGCATAATTACATGCAAGTAACCCTAATCCTAACCCTAACCATATAGTAAGTGCATGTAGTTAATTGATATTACTCAGTACTTAAATGTATAATTAAACTGCAACAAGGACACCTTAAAATAAAGTGTAACCGTGCTGAATAATATTAATTAAAAACATTTAAATCTTACTATATGATTAGTGTTAGGAATAGGGTTTGCTTTATTGTTAGTTGCATATAATTATACAGTTATTAATATAGTAAGTACATGTAACATGTAACAAAGACAGCATAAAATTAAGTGTTACCAAAACTATTGTTTCTACCAAGTATAGTTTAGTTATCTATTTATTATTAGTAGCTTGTACTGTGGCTAACTTCTTTATGAAAGGGCTGAGTATCTTGTAGCTGCCCTAATGCGTTTATCAGGCTGCATTATAAAAGTCTTTTAGTAATCACAGCATCGAAAAGGAGAACAGTGAGCACGACTGGGTGAGTGTTTTGTTTGGGTAGCAGATGCTATAGGCGCAGAGCATCTGTAAGCAGGAGAAGAGCAGCAGATGTTGTCAGAGCTGGAGAGTGTTTGTGTCTGTGCAGCATATGCACAAATCTGCATCTCTACACTGCAACTGCTCCTCATTTCAATATATTAACAACAATAGATATTTTACCTCAGATCATGAACCAACACATGTATTCCATAACAAAGATGGTATCAGTCACTCACTCACAAAAATGGTTCAGTCCATTCACATTTGAATCATCTATTTTCCGTGTCCACTTTTCTTTTCTTCACACTCGGCATGTTTTTGCTGTCACATCGTATCTACACTGGATGCGACGAAGCATTGCAAATCATTTGAACTTTGTGTCAGTACGTTATAAATAGAACGAGTCAGCAGTTTGCTGTCGGGATTTGTCGTGCCACGCTGCATCCAGTGTAGACAGCATCACTGATTATAATGGGTTCTGTTGTATCTTGTTGCGTCGCGCTGCGCCGCACCGCTCGCGTTCGGTGTAGACACTTACATCGTAGTTAATGTCGCTTTCTGATGCTGCGTTGGAATTTTCATGCCACATTATTTGAAATTAGCGCTGGCCAAACATTTTTCTCTCACGGGCCGGATGTAACCCGCGGGCCGCTTATTGAGGTGTATAATAATGTTTTTTTTTTAGTTTTTCTTCTCCCCCCGCCCCCCTCAAACAGTTAGACCGTTCTTGAACTATGTTCAGTGGAGTCAAACCTTTAGCAGCCATCAGAACTAATTTTCTTATACAAAACCAAAACATTTTCTGTACATTGTATGTCTGTGTATAAATATTATATATTAATCAAAATTAAATTTCAGAAATGAAACACTTCACCCATAGACAAAGAATTTTAAAATGGTTATGGACATAATCCCTAGGTTGTGTGTATGTGTAATTCGTACTGAATGAATGAATGAACAGAGCTGGGTAGATTATCGATTACTAATTACAGATTACATGATGAAAACTGTAGTTAGTAATGTAATCTAGGTTACTCATTTTAGGTAATATATTCTATTTTTTAGATGACTTTTATCTAACTTGTTTTTGTTTTTGTTTTTTTTATGAATGATTATGCATGATTTACTGCCAGTGTGTGAATATGTAAATATGTAATCCATAAAAGTATCTGTAATTATTCTAATTAATGTAAACTCTAATTGCGAGTACTTGATTTTTAAAATATGATTACGTAATCCAGATTACATGTGAACAGTTACTACCCAGCTCTGTGAATGAATGAATGAATGAATGAATTAATTAAATAATTAATTCATGAAAGCACGAGTGAGCAAACAAACTAACATTTTCTTAGGTAAATGCTGTTGTTTTTAATTAATGTTTTTAATTACATTATATAAATTTGTGTTTATGAACTGTTGAAAACTAACATTTACTTGACACCATTTGCTTTTTCAATCCACGTTCTTGTTCTTACTTTGCATAACATTTTAAAAGAAACAAAAAGTAAAAATGTATAGATGTTATATGGGCTTCTTGTTTCATTTTATTTTTTAATCATACGAATCACAATTCTTCTGTTTACATACCTTACATTCAGCAATCAAACTGAAATGTTATGGGCATTCATGAAATGATTCTGTTTGCTGCTTCTCTTTGCAACATTCAAAATGAATGTAGTGGTCTCATTGCAATGCACTTTTTTTTTTCTCCGCAGCACACACTCCTGATAACTCATTCATGGGTTTTGTGACCGAGGAACTAAACCAGACTGAACGATTCAAAATAAAGAGGGACAAAGTCAACAACATGGCTGTGGTTTACGGCAAAGAAGCCAGTATGTGGAAGGTAAGAACGTATATGTCCAATAACAGCCTGTCAAAGCAGTGCTTTTCCCAATGGTTAACAGAAACAGCAGAATTAGCAGAATTTTGACACTTTTCTACAGTATGTACCGCCAGCCTTGCTCAGCATTTGAAAGCACTGTGGCGTCGCTGCTATAGACTTGCTTTCAGTCTGTGTAACTGTCAGAACATACAGAGATTGATTGCCTGGCTCCTATCATGGCTTGTTGGGCACACTGATTGCGCTAAAGTGGCGTTTGGATGTGCTGACAGCAAATAACATCAGGCTGCTTTAACACGCTTCAAAGCAGGATGAAAGCAAACATTCTGCAGCATCGAGAGAGACAGGCTGTGAACATCGCTGGAGGAAACTGCGCCCACCCGTCCTCCAACAAAATAAATAAATAAACCTTGACAAGTAGCAGACTTTAATCAGAAAGTGTGTTCAAACCGCCGGGCGTTTGGGAGCAGAAATTGGTTTTGATGAGAGTAAAATGTACCCCGGGAGCCGCGAAAAGCTCAGAGTCTTTGAAGAATGAAGTCTCCACGTTTAACCTGAATGTTTGACTGCCATTTTTAACACTGTATTCTTCAGCGCCGTGTTATTGTGTCTCTGTGCTGCTTGAGGTGTGCATTGCCGTGTATGTTTTGTTTGACAGGTTGCTATTTAAAAGCTATCTGTGCTATGGAGTCCCTAAACACTGACAGTTCCCTCCGGGCCAAATGGCAGCCCACTCTCTCTCATTGTGCATGTGTCACTCAGCCCAGTGCTACAAATGTACGCTTAGAGATTGGAAAGACAATCATCGCCCCTTTGTCCGCTGGTTTTCCCCCTTCTAATTTATTTTTTGGTCTCTTGTCGACCGTCTTGGCTCACTTACAGCTCCAAGTCAGAGCGTGACAATCATTTCATCAGTTTAAGGGTGAGAAGGGTTCTCACGGTCATTGGAAAACCTGAACATACCAGAGACTTCACTTGACCTGGAAAAGTCTTGGAAATTAATAAAATATTAAAGTAACTTACAGTAAATATAAATTTTTAGTAGTTTAGCTCTAAAACTTTTTTTAACTTTTTTGAGAACAATTTAAATATATACAGTGGGTACGGAAAGTTGCAATATAACAAAGAGTGAAAAATTGAAGGGGGTCTGAATACTTTCCGTACCCACTGTATATATATATATGTGTGTATATATATCATGAATGACTACAGAAGTCATGGAAATTCATTGGTCAAAAGGCATGGATACCTTAAATATGTAAAGGCCAATTAAAGACTACATTCAAACAGAACCTATAAAATAAAGCAGCAAATCATAAATAAACAAATACATACATATAATACATATTATTCCATTTTGCAACTCACTAGTCCAGAATCCCTCTTGGTAAAACTGTGGGTTAAACATAACATAACACAACTTGATTGATTGTTTTTTCTTTTCTTTTTTTTACCTCTTGCACTAAAATACATCAGAAAGTCATGGGAATGCAACTATTATTACTTACTAAAATATCTAAAATATAATGAGTGTGAGTCTTAAGTATTTGCACTTCTTTGCAAAAGACTGCATCTATTTGTACAGTAAATAGATTCATATTCTGAAATATTATTACTTTTTTCTATTTGAATATATTTGTCAATGTTGAAAACATTTATGTTGGAT